ATGCAAGTGCTTGGTTTAAAAAAAAACACCTGTGGCAGGATGCTGTGACAAAAAGATAGGGCACGAAACAAATTCTTACTTCAGTCTGTCTCTACAATACAAACTTGCTCTCATTATGAGGTTGGTGTGTTGTTGCTACGTAACTCAAACTTTCATCTTCAATCTTTCATTTCAAGTTGAGTGCTTAACTTGTTGTTGAATAACACAACATTCTCAACCACTGTTAAAAGAATTGCAATGCGCATGTTATTGGAAACCAGTGTTTGTTAATGATTTTTCACTCTGATAGTTTCTGATGCTAATGATTATTAATCACAATGTGTCAACTGATCTCGCACAATGTAATAAACAAATGGATGTACTTGGAAGCACATTGTCACTTTTCTGCAAATAGAAAGCATGGCTAAAAAAGCAAAGGAACAGAACCAATGACAATTTGGTCATTTAATTGAATCAAAGAATGGCATATAATTTTTTCTCTTTATTCATTCATGGGATGAGGGCATCGTTGCTAGACAGCATTTATTGCCCATCTCAAATTACCCAGAGGGCAGTTAAGAGTCAACCACATTGGTGTGGGTCTGGAGTCACATGTAGGCCAGACCAGGTAAGGATGACAGATTTCCTTCCCTAAAGGACATTAGTGAACCAGATGGGTTTTTCCCCAACAATTGACAATGGATAGATGGTCATCATTAGATCCTTAATTCCAGATATTTTATTGAATTCAAATTCCACCAACTGCTGTGGCAGGATTTGAACCCAGGTCCCCAGAACGTTATCAGGGTCTCTGGATTAACAGTCCAACGATAATACCACTAGGCTATTGCCTCTCCATACAATTATCCAAATTCTCTTTTGAAGGCCTAGATTGATTTTGCCTCGATCACACTCTCAGGGAGTGCCTTCCAGATCCTAAGTAATTGCTGAACACAAAAATATTTTCACTATGTTGCCATTAGCTCTTGTAGCATTGACCTTAATATAGTTTCTGTTGATTCTCAACCTTGCTGTCCAAGGGAACAACTTCTTTCTATCTACGCTGTCTAAGCGATCATGGTTTTAAAATACCTATTAAATATCCTCAGAACTTTATTTTATGGACAACAAAAATCTCCAGTTTCTCCAATATGTTTGTGCAACTGAAGTTCCTCATCCCTGGAACCATTCTCGTCAATCTTTTGTGCCCCTACTTGATCTGCCTTCTATGTAAATGTTCATCATAACTTTCTTACTTTTTACTCTATGTCTCTATAAAACCCAGCATTCTGTTTGCTTGATTGATTGGTTTTTCAACTTGTCTTACTGTTTTCAATGATTTGTGTGCATGTATCCCCAGATTCCTCTACTGCTGCAACCTCTTTAGAATTATATCCTTTATTTCTTTCTTTGTTCTTCTTATCAAAATGCATCACTTCACACTTCTCTGCATGAAATTTCTGCCATGTGTTTGCCACCACCAGCAGGCAATCTATGATGGCTTGAAGTTATCATTATCTTTCTCATAGTACACAATACTTCCGAGTTCTGTGATACCTACAAATCTTGGAATTGTGCTCTATAAGTGTGAACCTAGAACATTAATGTGCACCAAGAAATGTCAGTCATTTAACTAGAAACAACAGACGCATCAGTTTAACTTCAGCGATGAAAATTCATTATCTGGGACAAGATTAACAGTTATTTGGCCTTATGTAAATTAATTAAGGAATGTCAGCACAGGCTTGTTGAACACAATTCATGTTTAATTAACCTGATCGAGTTTCGTGAAGAGGTAACAGTGATGAGCAGTGGAGTGATGTATTGAATGAGAAATACATAGGCTTCTAAGAGGTACTTGATAAAGTGGCTGAGTGACAGATTACCTGTCTTCACCATACTTACAGCCAGTGGATAGGTCTCAGTCTCTCACTGCACAAAGCTAGAAAAAGGTATACAGTGGGCTGTACCAGGGACCACTGCTTTTCTTGATCAACTGCGATGATCATTACTTTAGATTTGCACACATTACTGAGTGTATCAGATGCAATTTTGAAATTTGCAAACGGAAGAAAACTTAGGAATGTTGGGAATTGTAAGAAGGATTGTGACAGACTTTGAGAGGGCATAAACAGGTCGGTGAAAAGGGCAAAAGATTGTCAGCTGAAATTTCATGTAGAGAAGTATGAACAGATAACATTTTGTTAGAAAGAGCAAGAGAAAAGAGACAACATAAAATAATGGTACTGTTCTGAAATGGTTGCAGGAACAGAGATACCTGGCAGCATCCATGGACAAATCACTGTAGGTGTCAGGACGGGCTGAGAAGAGTTTAAATAGTCACGTACCATTCATGGAGCATAGAGTACAAAAGAATGGAAACTAAGAGGAGCCCTTATAAAACAGTGGTTCACCCTCAACTAAACGTTCATGTCCAAAACTAGACTCAGCACTTTAGGAAGGATATGAAGGCATAGAGAGAAATAATTTTTGAAGTGGTTCTAGAGCTGAGGGACTTCATGTATGTGGACAGATTAGAGATCTGTCATTACTTTCATTCAAGAAGAGAGGTTGAATGATTTGATGGAGATCTGATAGCAATGTTCAAATAAGAGGTCTACAGAATAGATAAAGAGAAACTACTGCCGTTGGTGCATGTTTAGAGAATCAGAGGACTTGATTTACACTGACTGGCAAAAGAATTGACAATAATACGAGGACAAATATTTTCTTGCAGCAAATGCTTAGGACCTGGAATGCACTACTTGAGAGTGTGCTGTGGCAGCAATTTCAATTATTGTACCCAAAAGATAATGGTTAATTTACTGAAGAGAGAAATTACAGGATTACAGAGAGAAGTTAGGGGGAGTGAAATAGAGTCACAGAGTCACACAGCACAGAAACATGCCTTTCAGTCCAACTCGTCCAAAGCAACCAGATGTTCCAATCTGACCTAGTCCCATTTGTCAGCATTTAGCCCATATCCCTATAAACCCTTCCTTTTCATATACCCATCCAGATTCCTTTTAAATGTTGTAATTGTACCCGCCTCCAACACTTCCTCTGGCAGTTTGTTCCATACACACAACAACCCAGTGTGAAAAGTTACTCCTCAGGTCTTTTTTAAATCTTTCCCATCTCACCTTTAAACCTATGCCCTCTAGATTTAGACTCCCCTATGCTGGGAAAAAGACTGGCTATTCATCCTATCCATGCCCCTCATGATTTTATAAACCTCTGTAAGTCATCCCTCAGCCTCCGATGCTCCAGGGAAAATAGCGCCAGCCTATTCAGCTTCTCTCTATAACTCAAACCCTCTAGTCCTGGCAACATCCTTGTAACTCTTTTCTGCACCCTCTTAAGTTTAACACATCTAGATGCTTCTGCAAAGAGCTAGCACAGACACAGTAGGCCTAATGGCTCCTGCTGTGCTGTATAAATTCTATGGTTCCAAGAACCAGGAGTTAGTTTTAGTGTCTAGTATTTCACCTTGATGGCGATGATAATTTAACATCTGACTTCACCCTTAAGCACACATTAGTTTATATTACTCTATTAACTATGCAGTGAATCAAACTTTTATAGTCTGCAAGGCATAACAAATTAAAATAGGCAAGTCTCAAAGAACTATCAACCACTGATAAATTATTCAGCAAGTTTGAAGAAATCATTATACATTGAAAAGGAATGAATACTTTCTGTCAAAATAATGCTTTCAGTGATTATAGTTCTCATTTTCATCCACACACTTAACATCAACAGTTTAGTCTAGATTTTCCATCATCGTTCTATAGACTTGCTGTCTGATAGAAAAAGGGATTCTGAGAAATCATTTAATTTAGGCTCAGTTTAAGTTTGTTATCTTTCCATTTTACAATGTATGTTTGTCACAGCACCAATAGTAAAGCCCAATATATATGTAAAGTAGCAAAATTGAAAGCATAGTACACCTCAAGACGTTACTCAGCTTTTATATATGGACTGTATTAGAGAATAACAATTAATATCCAGAAATATTTGTGCTCTTGATAGTTCAGTGTTTAATTGCAATGCAGGGTGCACATAGATTCATACATAGCATCAACACCCCATGTCTGATTCCTAAACTCATCTCTAAAAGCACCACACTGCCTGTACGGTCCTTCGTTCGAGGATGGACAATGTTGGCTTGCTTCTTAGTCCTGATTGCTTCCAAAATATGTGCATGTGTGAACACTGAAGTTCCTGCCTACTCCAGATGTGTATCATAACCTATCAGAATTGGTTGAAATTACCTAGAAATAGTCTTGATTATGAAATATATACAGTTGATCTTTTATCTGCTTAGAGGCAAAAATAAAACTAGCATTTCAAGCTGGTGACCTTTCATCAGATCTGAGAGAAATTAGAAATGTAACTTGTTTTGAAAAAGTAAAAGGGAAAACAGGCAAGAAGAAGAACAGAAGGGAAAGTCAGAGATGGAGAGAGGCAGGAGCGATTAAATGATAAACAGGTCATGGCGCAAGACTGAAGAAGGCAGTAATGTGACAACTAAAGAAACAAAAGATGCATCTGGAGTAGGTATGAGGAGCACGATAGCTGCCAAGTGAATGTGAAATAAAGGAAATAAAAGTGAAATGAGAAAAATGAACAAAATCAACATTAAAGAAGCACAAAACAAAATGGGGGCAGAGTTTATCATAAAAGATTGTTGAATTTACTGTCAAGTTCAGAGGATGTAAAATGCCCAAATGTAAAATTAGCGACTATTCTTCAAGCTTATGTTGATCTTCAGTGGAACAGCTTAATAGGCCAAGGATAGAGACGTCAGAGTGAGAATTCAAATGACAGATAACCAAGGTCTAAGGGTCAGGTTTGCAGACTGAACTGCAGTGAGCTGCAAAGCAATTACCCAATATGGGTTTGATTGCCCCGATAAAGAGGAGACCGCATTGTGATCAGTATTTTCTGTTTTTATTTGAAGCTTGGGAGAATTTTTTGACATTCAACAAATAGCACAGCCATCAGTGGGTAGTACACAATGTAATGAGAAAAATTCCAAACAAACATTTCAAGTTTGGATTGAAACTTGCAGTTTATTATTTTTAACTAAACATTTCTATGAAATACATGAAAGTTCATTATACTGTAAGAAAACACTATCCAACAAATAAATGTCAGCTTTTAAAAGGCATTCAATAACTGAGCTGAACTTAAAAGCAGTTATATCTTCCATCTTCAGAAGTCATATGTGGATCAAAGAGACTGAAGATATCTTTTCATGTGATTCTGGATTCCAAGAGCAGACTGGAGCCCCATGAAGTTTCTTGAAGAGTTAAAAAAGAGTCATGTCTGTGTAACAGAACAGAAAATATACAATGATAAATAAGTTCCCTAAATCTACATCTGCTCAACCACAGAAGAAATCACTTATGCATCATTACTTAACAGGTTGCTCAGCAATTACACACTGCATCTTTTCTGAAGACAAAAGAAATGTTTCATAATCAACAGTGGAACAGATTTGACGTAGTAATTGCAATTGATCATCGTATTACCAGTGATGATACCTGCTTCTTATTTATCCAAGTAGTTATCTCTGCAATAAGAGAAATTTATTTTGTTTGATATCTAATATTCTGTTGAAACATGTTACAAGAGCTTATGTGTAATTTATTAATCTGGAAAGAAACCGTTGGTAAGTGAAGTGATAATGTTCTGTTAGAAGTTTAAGTGACATTTTCCAGTCAACGTTCTTAGGTTGCAACTGGCCTTTTCTGTATTTGTGTACAAGTGTATTTTTGAAATGAGTAATTTTGAGTTGGGATGCTATTTGGATACTCAAACTTGCTCTGTTATTTAGTGAGACTATGGCTGATACAATTGTGGTCCCAAGTATACTTTCCAACCCAGCCCAGATAAGCTATGACTCCCTTATTAGTCAATATTTTAAATTTAAAATTTAAAATATAATTTTAAAAGTATTCAATGAGCTGCATCCATCACATTTTTCTTTAATTCATTCATAGGATGTGGGTGTCACTGGCTGGGTCTGTATTTATTATTCATCACTAGTTGCGCTTGAGAAGGTGGTGGCAATCTACCTTGCTGATCTAATACAGGCAGTACATTTCCACTAAAATCAAAATATAGATGCCATCATTATATGATATTCACCAAGTTATCAAATAGGAATTCAAACAGAAATGCCTTTATTAAGAGTGTGGTTAGAAATTGGAACTCACTATCACAGCGAATGGAGAGGCAAAGCTTACCTTCATCATAAGTTCAGCAGTGGGATATTCACTGATGATTGCACAATGTTCAGCACCTATCGTGGCTCCTCAAATAGTGAAACAGTGCATGTCCAAATTCAACAAAACCTGGATAATATACAGGAAGAAACATTCATACCACGTAAATGCCTTCTAGCATCAATTCAATTTTGCTTTTATTGAGTGCCAGGAAATGGCTATCACCATAAACAGAGAACCTAACTATCGCTCCTTGACATTCAATGGCACTACCATCACTGAATTCCTTATCACCAGTATCTTGGGAGTTATCATTGGCCAAAAACTGAACTGGACTTGCCATATAAATACAGCTACTATGAGAGCAAGTCAGAGTCTAAGAATTCTGCAGCAAGTAACTCACCTCCTGACTCCCCAAAGCCTGTTGACCATCTACAAGACACAAGTCAGGAGTGCGATGGAATACTCCCACTTGCTTGGACGAGTGCAGCTCCAAACACACTAAATAAATGTGACACCATCAAGAGCAAAACACCACATGACCAGCATCACATCCATAAACATTTTCTCCCTGTACAGCTGATGGTGAACAGAGTAGGGTGTGTACCATGTATAAGATGTACTGCAGAAATTCACTAAGGCTCTTCAAACTTTCAGACCACACAAGTTCCAAGCAAATACCATCTTCAAGAAGACAGAACTTAACCACCACCCCTTGACATTCAATGACACTGCCATCACTGAATCCTCCACTATCAATATCTTCATGGTTACCATTGGCCAGAAACTGAACTGGATTAGCCTTATAAATACTATGGCTACAAGAGCAGGTCAGATGTTGGAATACAGCAGCAAGTGACTCACCTTCTGATTCCACAGAGCTTGTTCACCATCCACAAGGCACAAGTCAGGAGTGTGATGGAATACTCCCCACTTGCCTGGACGGGTACAGTTCCAACAACTCTCAAGAAGCTTGACACCATCCAGGATGAAGCAGCCCGCTTAATTGACACCACATCTATAAACATCCACTCCCTTGATCACCAACGCTCAGTGGCAGCAATGGGTACCGTCTACAAGATGCACTGTAGAAATTCATCTAAGTTCCTGAGACAGCACTTTCCAAACTCATGACCACTTTCAATTGGAAGGACAAGGGCAGCAGATATATGGAAACACCACTACCTGCACACCCATCTAGACTTGGAAAAATATCACCATTGCTTTTGTGCTGCTGTGGGTCAAAATCCTGGAATTATCTCCCTAATGGCATTGTTTATCTACCTACAGCAAATAGATTGCAGTGGTTCAAAAAGGCAGCTCACCACCACTTTCTTAATGGCAACTAGGGATGGGGAATAAATTCTGGCATAGCCAGTGATGCCCAAAACTCATGAATGAATAAAAAAGGATCTCTTTGGAACATATAAGGGAAAAATAAATAAGCAGACAAATCAAAGGGAATTGGGCTTACTTTGATAGAATTAGATAAGGAAGAATGGGAGGAGATTTGAGTGGCTCATAACCAACGCCAGGGACTGGTTTGGTCAATGGTCTCTTCTTACATTGTATATTCTTTCTACTTCTGGAAGGGGGCTGTGTTAAAGCTGTGTAACTTCTTGGATCATGACTTTTAACTCACTGCCACAGGTACCACAACACTGCATCCTGCAGCCAGAGCTGTCTCTGCTCTGAAATTCTTATCACTGGCTCACTCTCATCTAATATAAAAACATTCAAAGACATCAATGGCTCAGATCTTGTAATTAAAACAGAAGAGAATAAATCAAAGCTAACTATTCTGAAGGCACAAATCAAATATCTGCTTCTTCTGACTGCACATGCACAGTGACATGCAGAAATCAGGAATTTATTATCCAGTTATTCTACACTTCAAGAATGTTTGTCATACTAATATTTCACCAAGGGACTCAACTTTGAAATACAAGAAATGGTGTGAAATTGTTGTACCTACTTGATATTTACCTACTAAGTTGGGCTTGTCCATTCCAATTTGATTAATGTTTTTAGTGGCGTTGTACTGCCTGTAACGTGGTCATAAAGATCAACCTCGTGGGATATGAGTTCCTTGATTTGGGCCTGTTAATCTGGTCCAGTCAGGGAGCCCTGGCTGACAGATATAAACTGGAGTGTGAGAAGTTCTGATCATTCTGAGAGCTTGCTCTGAGAAAGCTGAATCAGTGTCAAGGACTGTCCTCATGTAAATAAAGGGTGACTTGGTGACAGGATACCAGTCTCTGTGGATTAATGTCAGGTGTGATAAGACTTTACGCCAAACAACCTCTTTGACATTAAAAATGTATTTTAAAAAATTATTGTGGTGTCTCATTTGTCCAAGTTTTAATCAATATTGGAGATTTTTAAAATAGAATTACTTTAGACCTTGGCTCATGAACCTCGTCAGAATCTGAATCGGAGCCTTTATCAAGCAGGCCACTGGAGTCTTAAAACTGTTTCACAGGCCAGACTAGCCAGAAGGACTAGCCAGACCATAGCACTATGGTCTGTTAGTGCTTTGCTGTATGCTGCAGAATACTGCACAGCAATTGGGACAACATTGGAGTTGTCCTTATCTGTCAATCTTTGAGCAAGTTGTTGATGACACTGAAGGGACAGCAATTGGGACAACATTGGAAATGTTCAAGCACCAGCCTGCAGCCCAAGCTCTTTGGCAGCAGCTCATTGCATAGCCTCCAGCTGCACAGTCTCCGTCTGCCTGCATTATCGGTTAATCCAACATTTGTCACACAGTCCTTGCTCCCTCGCATAAACTACATCCACCCAAATATAAGTATTCCTGTCATCTGACCTTGAAGGGTCATCTAGCATAGCCAGAACATTCTGCCCACTAAGATTTTTTTTTAAAAAAAGCTTTTTGTTCTCCTGCTTTACGCAATGGTTACCTCCTCTTTAAGTGATGTCTTAACAACTTCTACCACTTCTAAAAAGTAAGTCACCATTGGCTTCTGCATGTTATGATTGGGGTTAATAGCACTTGTAAACATGGGTCTCAGACCAACTGCAAGCTGCAGCATCTCAGAGGTAACAGAACAATTGACATGGGCACCAGGGCAGGCAAAGGTTGAAGGGACGGTGAAGGTGCAGATGTGGTATCTTCTGTGAGATGGTAATACATTCCACTCTCATTGCTGAACTACTTATGCTATCAGTTTGTGGCTCAGCAATTCACTGATCAGATTGAACCCTTGAGTCCATTCAGAGTTTTTAGACAGTACAAATAGTCGAACTGTGGGCATATGGGAACTTCATGAAAAACTGGCACAAGTTGTGTAGATGAATTGGATATAGTATGGATCTTGAGAGAAAGGCAAGTAAACAAGGCTAAGTTGCGAAATTCATAAGTGTTGCGATCCTCATATGTGTGAGAAGATACAGAAGTGCAGTGAAGTGTCCTATTCAGATTCGAAGGCCTGGACCTGTTGCTGCAGAGCTATGCAGACAATGTTCTGGATATGAAGAGGAATCTCACTTGACAATCCTGGTTTAGTCATGAAGTTACTTCCCCTATGGTGACTAGGTCCAAGGACATTGCTACTCACAATGGCCTGCTCAGTGGTTTCTCTTCACTGTTGCCAGCCAATTTTCCGCAGCACATATCTCCCACCTAAGGAAAGAGGACCTGCTTTTGGGTCATTGTGTATCTAAAAAAATCATAAGGCCATGCTTTGTTTGTGCCCTCCACCTTAAGGCTAATGTCTGTCCTGACAAAATCTTTGCACTCCCAAGTGAAGGGGCTGCTTTTGAACATATGAACAGCAGTAGGCCATTCAGCCCTTTGAGTCTACTTGGCTAAAGCTTGAGAATTGAAGTGAGACTCAATCACAACAATTGATCAAGCTTTACAGTATCATAATATGGCAGGTGTAGCGGATACTGAAGCGAACAGTTACTTTTTGCATTTCAAATAGTCCTACAACATTGAAGTCCAGGAGACAAGTTTTGATAAGTGATTTGAAATATGAGGTGGTATTCCATGGAGGCAGTAAGGGCTTTTGGTCACCAGTTGGAGATCTGCTGAAAGCCCCACCTTGTATCTTTTAGGGAAGGCCCATTGCTGGGTTGACCTAACTATGGACTTCTCCTGGGATCAAGGACCAGGGGACTGGACATTCTGGCTGTTGGAGTGAAAAGTCAGAGGCTGGTGGCTCTATTGAATGTGGGATCCCATGCACAGTCAGGAGTGATGGAAGGAGGTGGATCATGGATAGGGATGTGGTTCTCAGCAGCAAGCGTAGGGGCTGGTAGTCAGCAGCACCCCCTTCCTAAAATTGGTCGTGCAGACAGGCGCTGATTGAGCGACACACCCTGGGAAGCCCTGCTCAGGTTTGTCTTTTGTGTTTCCCACAAGTAACCCCCTCCTCTGCTGAGTGAATACTACTTGGGTGTTTGGTATCAATGGGCAGTGGGGCAGAAAGGCCATCCATGGACCTTGTTGACACTGATTGATTTGAGGTGGAGCAGGAAGATTGTGGGATCACCAGCCACCTATCTTCCATTGAGCGTAATCCTATCCTGTGACCAAGGACATCACCTGGAGGGCTTTAAATTCCACCCATTGCTAAAGCATAATCCAGAAACAAGGATGAATATTCTCATTGCTTTCAGTGTAGAGCTGGTGTTTGAACTTTGAGTTAAATAAGGAATTGCTGCTGGAAGTTGTTTCTAACTGTCACTTGCATGTTAACAAATAATTCTCTTGGCTTTTGAGAAGTTTTGTGATTGAGCTTTCTAATCCACTCTGACCTCATTGGCATGTATGAGTAAGAGCTAATTGTGGATTCCTTGAGTCCACACAGTTCTTGTACTCCAGGTAACTGAGGCTGAGACTTGTAAGATGCAGCAGCTTCCAGCACAAGCTGAAACAGGAGTGAGAAGCTTCACAGGAAGATTTTGATGCCTTGACCACAGCAGGAATGAAATGAATGTGTCCTGAAAACGGAGCGGTATCTCTTATCACTTTATATCAGTGTGGCTATATAAGTTTCACTGACATACATGCCAACTGAATTTCTGAGCAATTTGCTGATCGTAGAATCCCTGCCGTGCAGGTAAAAGCCATTTGGCCCTTCAAATCCACACCACTCCTCCAAAGAGCATCCTACTCAAACCCAGCACCCCACTCTATCCCTGTAACCCTGAATTTCCCATGGCTAACCCCGCTAGCCTAAACAGTGGGGGGCAGGTGGAAACTGGAACATCTGGTAAAAACCCACGCAGACACGGGGGGAATGTGCAAACTCCACACAGACAGTTACCTGGGGTGGAATTGAACCTGGATCCTTGGTGCCATGAGGCAGCAGTGATAACCACCGAGCCACTCTTTAATTTATTGCCCATCTTGAATTGTCCAGGAGGCAGTTAAGAGTCAACCACATCGCTAGGGGTCTGGAATCACATGTAGGGCCAGACAAGGTAAGGACTGCAGTTTCCTTCCATAAAGTACTTCACAATTGTTAACTGATTACTGTTTGAAAAGAAACCCGATGAAGACATAATAAAACAAAACAGTGATTGAAAATGATTTTGAAAGAAGAAAATGTAATGTGAGCATCTCAGGTCTCTAGTTAATCACCTCCTTCAAAGAGAGAATATTATTATTTGGCAGCTCCACCTGATTAAGCTGATAATATCACTCCCATTGACATTTGAGGTTGCACAGTAGCTCAATCCTCCGCTATCTGAATCTCACTGGCAACATCTTTAGTGCTGCTTGCAGGCAGGTGCCAGATGGCACAATGACAGCACAGTGTGCCACAAAATCATAGAGCAAAGGGCATGTCTGCTGCCATCAGAGGTACCTTCCTGCTCCACTCAAAGGTTTATTGTGTGGAACATTTTTATTTTCTTCCCATAACATTTATTTTGGTGCACTGTGTTTTTATCATCGAAGCTCCAGTGACAGTTCTAGTTTTATTATTCCTTTCCCCAGTCAAATGTGCCATTGTCATAAGTACCAGTGCCAGTGGTAATTCACAGAATCCCAGAATGGTCACGATGCAGAACGAGGACATTTGCCCATTGTGCTTGTGTTATCTAGTCTGGCTCTATTATCTAATGTCAATCTTCTGCCTCTTACCCCCATATCCCAACACAGTAATACTATCCAAAAACACATTCAATGCCCTCTTGAATGTCTCAATTGAACTTACCCCATTTCATTTCCAGGCTGCGTGTTCCATACTCTAACACCTCGCTAAGTGAACAAGTTTTTTCTCACATCACCTTTGCTTCATTTGCACATTATTTTAAATCTATGCCCTCTCATTTTTGTTTCTTTTACAAGCAGAAAAAGCTTCTCCCTCTCTACATTGTCCAGCCCACTCATGATTTTGAGAACTCAATCAAGTCTCCTCTCAGCCTCTTCTCTCCAGGGAAGCAGTCCCAACTTCTTCAATCTGTTCTCATAGCTGAAGTTTCTCATTCCTGGAATCATTCCAGTAAATTGCTTCTGCACTCTCTCCAATGCATTCATATTGTTCCTACATGCTGGTGCCCACAACTGTACATAATACTCCAGCTAATGTTTAACAGTGTCTTATACCAGTTGACAACACCTCCTTGCTCTTATGTGATGCCCCTATTAAAGCCAAGAACACTGCATGCTGTATTTGCTGCTCTCTCCACCTGTCCTGCCACATTCAATGATCTGTACACACATCTTAGAATCATAGAATCCCTACAGTGTGGAAACAGGCCCTTCGGTCCAACAAGTCCACAACGAACCTCAGAGCATCCCACCCAGACCCATCCCCCTATAACCCACCTAATCTACACATCCCTGAACACTACAGGCAATTTAGCATGGTCAAACCACCTAACCTGCATATCTTTGGACTGTGGGAGGAAACCGGCCCATGCAGACACGGGGCGAATGTGCAAACTCCACACAGACAGTCGCCCGAGGCTGGAATCGAACCCGGGTCCCTGGTGCTGTGAGGCAGCAGTGCTAACCACTGAGCCACCGTGCCGCCCCACATACGCCGCTCTAGTTCCCTCTGTTCCTGCATCCCCTTTAGAATTGTAACCATATCACCCCCAACACCATATGTTCTCATTTTCTATCAAAACCTTTTCTATGTCACCTTATTGAAGGCCTTTTGGCAGTTCAAATAATTACATCTACTGGTTCCTTTTCATTCATCCTGCATGTTACACCCTTCAAGAGTTCTAATAAATTTGTCAAACATACTTTTGCTTTCACAGAATGATGTTGACTTGGCCTGATTGTATTACGGTTTTTTAAAAATATCCCACTGCGACCTCCTTAATAATGTATTATAGCATTTTCTAACTTCAGGTGTTAAACTAACTGACCGATAGTTTCTGGCTTTCTGTCTCCTTCCTTTCTTGAATAACAGTGTTACTTTTTCAGTTTCACAGTCACTGGGACCTTTATGGAGTCTGGGGAATTTTGGAAGCTACACCTAATATATTTGTAGCTCTACAGACTCTTAACGCCCAAGGTGCAGGCTATCAGGTTCAGCAGAATTGTCAGCCTTTAGTCCCTTGTGTTTTCCTTTTATACATTTTGTCTGGTGATTGTGATCATTTTAAATTTCTCTGTCCTTTTGCCTCATGCTTTTCTACTATTTTTAGGATGTTCATTATGTCTTCTACAATGAAAACAGATAGAAGGAACTTATTCAGACTTTTGCCATTTTCTCGCATCCCATTACTAGTTTCCAGTCACTCACTTTCTCTGCTCCGTTTCTTTGTATGTTCTTGTAGAAACATGTATTATTTGTTCTAGGAATGTGTCTGTAGTGATTGGAATGAGGACTAGGTGGATCTCATTGACTATGAGATCCCTGATTGTCTGAGGTTAACAACCCCAGTCAAGGATCTCACAGTCAGTGGATCCAACTGGCCCTCATTCCAAATACTACAGTGTCAGTACAAGGAATGCCATGTCTTATTATCACATTTTACTGACTAACCAAGTTACCTAAAATATTACAATTGATGCAATTGATGAAATACTTCAAAGCTCCTTTCTGTCTCAGCCTCCATAGTTCAGTGGTTAAAGCACTGGTTTGTAAACCAGGATCATGAGTTCAAGTCTCACTGTGAGTCTTTGAAGTGTTTCATATACAGGGCCTTCTTGTGTGCAGTGGTAGTGTATCAACTCTGGACCGAGAGGCCCACGTTCAGGTCCCACTTGTCCTACCTGCTCCATAGCTGTGTAATAGCAGCTCTGAACAGGTTGATGGGAAAATAGGCCAAGTAAAAAATTTCAAAGCTGTTTTCAAGTATTAAATAAAAGCAAATTCCACATTTGTGTAAAGAGATTACAAATTTTCACTACTGTACTGCTTCCAGGTAAAAAATCATTCACACTGGTAATCTAGTTAACAAATTACAGGTACCCCTAGCAATGAGGTTGTTTATCACAAACTTAAACTGAAAAAAACAACTTATTATTACAGTTGGGTCAAATGGTGCGTACAAACCTGACCAACCTTTAGAAAGAAATCGACCCATTAAACACCTTCATTTATCAAATTCCGGATTTAAGCATTCAGTTTCACTGCTGTCAATTTCTGATTGCCATCTTCATGCAAACTTACTTACAAATGGAGTTGAACAGAAACAGAAATGGAAGTGATTGGTATTGAATCTTTGCCCAATGAGAGCACATTCATACTCTCCCAACATATCCCTGTCCCAACTACAACAAAGGAGAAGTTCAGTTCTCGCTTGTAGCTGTAATTGAATTGTCTCCATTTTGTATTCACATAAGTGAAAAGCCACATCACAATTAAGAGCTACCATGTACAAACCAATGCTTCACAGTCTCCAGCTACAGGATGTTACCCAACAAGAAACATCAGAATGGATATTGTCCCACAACCAACACTGACTGTTAAGGAGGGGCTAGACCCGAAACGTCAGCCTTCCTGCTCCTCTGATGCTGCTTGGCCTGCTGTGTTCATCCAGCTCTACATCTTGTTATCTCTGACTGTTAAGGAGGCCAGTACAGTGGAAGCAGACATTAAAAACAAATACATGGCAAATATTAAATAATATTCAGGCAGCAACAGAATTCCAACATTTCTACAAAGCTTCATTCATTTAGCAGTAAAAGGCGGGCAGTACAGAGGACTTATATGGCTGACAGATAAGCAGAGTGAAACCGATAAGAGTGTCCTTTGGAATAGAGAAGGTTTGGAAATGGTTTAATTCAAGAGGACTGTGTTAAGTTTACATGTACCTCAGTCCACACAGCTGATTTGGATCAATTTGAGGGTGGTTTCAAAAACAAAATTTTACAAACTTACTTTTGGTGGACAAACCAGGATTATCCAAGAATGCTGCTATCAATCACTGGTAGCTTAAAGGATTTATTAAACAAGTTAGGTCTCTGAAGTGCACAGGCCAGAGACCCAGGTAATGCCCTATGGTCCTGGGTTCAAATCCTACCTTGGCAGATGGTGGAATTTGTCGTCAGTAAAAGTCTGGTATTAAGAGTCTAATGACGACCATGAAATGTCATCAATTGTCAGAAAATTTGGTTCACTAATGTCGTCTGAGGAAGGAGATCTGCCATCCTTTCCTGTTCTCGCTGATATGTGACTCCAGAACAATGGCAATGTGGTTGACTTACACATACAAAAACAGAAGCTGCTGGAAAAGCTCATCAGGTCTGGTAGCATCTGTGAAGAAAAATCAGAGTTAACATTTTGGGTCCGGTGACCAGTTGACTCATAACTAGCTGTGGCCAATTAGGGAATGACAATAAATGCTTAGCCAGTGACATCTACATCCCTTGAATGAATTTTAAAAAATGAAAGTTTTGATGCAACATCCATGCAATTATAAATATTGTGGAATAATAGAAAGGAAGATATCAGATGCCAAAAAAGATATTACTGCACCTTGCTAATATTCAATATGATAAGGACAATATATGCTTTGCAAAACATTGATCACTAAAATGACTTAAATGATTACATTTCATTTTTTTATTTGAGTGCTTCAGTTTATTTCTGCCAAACCTCTGACAGTACATTAAACATTTAAATTTGCTTTGCGTGGAGCTCTTGTGTGATATGCAGTAAGCCCAGTCATATATTTATTCTGAGAAGCAGTGTTGCAGTGGTTCAGCTTATCAGTAAAACAAGATGCTGACAATTGAAAGCTGTTTAAATAAAATCTAACGTCCTACAGTGTTGCTTTGTTTCAATGTTATCATTCACATCATTGAAAACAACAAAAGCCATCTGTCAGAAGCTCAGACTTGATTGCTATTTGAATGGCTTAAGTTACTGAATGTTCTTGTTTTGCATCACCAGGCACCATTGAGCAATTCAGATTGAGGGCAATGGTTGCCATGATACTCAGAGGCAGTCTCATGAAGACCAGAGCTTACTAGAATTTGGCCTTTTCCTTGTTTTTGTATTTTTAAAACAAACAACAATAATTTGCATTTTGATAGCATCTTGACAGCAAGGGTGATAATATTAAAATCAAAGTGTCACTTGACTGAGAGAAAATAGCCAACAAAAAGGATGAAGGGAGTGCATGAAAGATGTAAGTAAGAATAAGCCAGCAGAGTTTCAGATGGCCTGAAGTCACAGAGATCAGAATGTGGGGGATCATTCAGGAGCGCATTGGAATAGTCAAATCTAGAGGTAACAAACACATGAACCAGGGTCAAAAACATAAATTGCTCTGAGGTTCCAAGGAAGGGTCACTGGACCTGAAACATTAACTCTGATTTCTCTTCACAGATGTTGCTAGACCAGCTGAGCTTTTCCAGCAACTTCTGTTTTTGTTTCTGACCTACAGCATCTGTAGCTCTTTCGGTTTTTACATGAATCAATGTTTCAGCAGCTGAGGCAGGGCCAAAGGTTTAACAGAGCTGAATGTGCAGCCTTAATAATTGCATTAATTGCAGAATGATTACAACAGAAAAACAGGCAATTTTGCACATTTTGTGCAGGAGGAACTCAGCTAGTTCCATTCCACTGCCCTTTCTCCATAGGTCAAGACCTATTTCCTCTTTGGGTGCTTTTCCAGCTATTACAGAAAGCCACAGTTGAAACTGCCTCCACAACACTCCCAGGTCATGTATTTCTGACCGTCAACACTGGTAGTGTAAAAGAGTTTCTTCTAGTCAGGCATTAACCTACTTATAAAAACCGAAAGAACTGCAGATGCTGTAAATCAGAGACAAAAATAGAAATGGCAGCTTCTGTGGAGAGAGATCAGAGTTAATATTTCAGGTTGAGTGACCCTTCCTCAGAACTGAAGAGGAAGCCGCTGGAGCCCGCAAACTGGAAATTGTGAAACTGGCATAAAGCATCAGAGGAATCGTGAATGTATGTGGGCAGGGACTGGACCAGGAGAGAAAAGATCAAGTCAAGGTAGGAAGAGATGGGATCCGTGGGGCAGGAGCAGGCAGAAACAATGGGCCTGCCTAGGCAGTCCTGTTTGTGGATTTTAGGAAGGAGGTAGAAGCGAGCTGTGTGGGGCTAGGGGATGATCAGTTTGGAGGCAATGGGGGAGATCACCAGCTGAAATGGTGTTGGTGACCGTAGTAGACAAAATGGCCTGATGTTCCATCGTGGGGTCATGGTCCGGGACAGGTAGAAGGAGGTATAAAGACCATAAGACATTGGAGCAGAAATTAGGCCATTCAGCCCATCGAGACTGCTCTGCCATTCAATCATGGCTGATAAGTTTCTCAACCCCATTCTCCCACTTTTTCCCCATAACCCTTGACCCCCTTGACAATCAAGAACCCATCTATCCCCATCTTAAATATAATCAATGATCTGAGAGCTGGCGCTCAGCCTCTGCAATGTAGAGGTCAGTGAAGTTTTGAGGAAAGGTCACTCAACCCGAAACATTGACTCTTATTTCTCTCCATAGATGTTGTCAGACCTGCTGAGATTTTCCAGCAATTTCTACTTTTATCATTAACCTACTAATGGCAGGCAGAAAACATGCACAGGTGCTTAGTTGCAAGAATACTATCTACCTTATAGAGTAAGAAGGTTCCACTGACTTCAAACTAAGGGATTATCAGATAGTGGTGATTTAACAAGCAGAGTAAGTAGTCAATCACACTGAAGTATTATCACAGGAAATCTGAAAGTAAAGACCACAGAATTCCTTCACTTTTAGCTTTACTTTAAATAGTACAATAATGACTGGGATAAAGACATAGGATTAAGTTAGGAGAAAAATATTATAAACAAAGATTTAAAATTGTACATTTTAAAAATAAGTGACAATTGTTTCTAAAATGGAGAAATTTGACATTCAACAAATATAACATTACTGTTTAAGGCTAAGTGATGCAGTTTACCAGTAATTATAGATTTAGTACACTTTTAAACTAAATTTATACCTCATTCAACAATGTGTAGAACTTTCTCAAGGGCCTTTGCAGTGAGACTAAGTGAGGAAATAATTAATTGAATAATTAAATAATTAATTTTCAATTAATCTTTGGTGTTGATCTCAACAGCATATTGTCTGGAGAAATAGAGATTCATAATATCAACTTTTGTAAAGACTGAGATGTGAGGAGGGCACTATTTTTCGCTTATCCCCTACTCCACAGGCCACAATGTGAATACAAATGGTTTACCTGGTTCTTAATATGGCTCATGATATGCTGCCTCTACATTAGAATGAAAATAAAAGATCCATTAACAGGATTTCTTTAATAAGTACAACATTATTGCTTTATTATAAAACAAAACTTATTAAAGTTTTACGTAAGTTTATAATAATTATTATTAACAAAAATGCAAAACTAGTTAACATAGGTCATTTGAATCATGAAAATATAAATGTTTACCCTTCTAAACAACCCAAAAAACACATGCATGTGCAAAGGGCAAGGAGGGGAAATGAATTATTTCTGCAGAGATCCATATTGGGGAAAAAGAGGTTTGACCAATAATTCTTTGTTCTTAAAAATAAAAAGGATAAGGTTTCAAAGGATATATCCTCTCACAGAGTCTAGAACCTGAGGGCATTGTCTCAGAATATTTAAGACTGAGATAAGGAGGACTTTCTTCTCTCACCGGGTTGTGAGTCTTAGGAACTGTTTACCACAGAAACCTGTGGGGTTTGTGTCCTTGTGTGTAAGGCTGAAATAGATAGAGTCTTGGTCAGTAGAGGAATAAAGGATATCAAAGAAAAGGCAGGAAAGTGGATGTGAGGAATGTCAGATCAGCCATAATCCTACCAAATGGTGGCACAGGCTCAGTAGCTGAACTGCCCACTCCTGTTCCTATTTCTTATGGTCTTATGTGCAGGTGGCTTTCAGTCTGATATGTATCGAGTATGTTTGGAGAGGTGTCAGTCTTGCACTCATCAGGACAACATGCAAGAATATCAAGTTTAAAGGTAAACCAACATTTCCACTGCATGAGAGGACAGTGCTGATTGATTGGAAAGTGGAGTGTGATTAATTGAGGTCTTGCGACGGAGAATATACCTATTAAAAATAATTGACATTTCACAACCAGGCCTTGTTTATAAAGGCAAGATCCAAACTCTGATTGGCCAGGGCATTGCCCCAGAAAATGATAAATGTCAGTTACTATTTGTTGAAGCAGGCACAGTGTGTGTGCACGTTCTCTCTGGCTGCAATGAACACTGGGCTTGTGTATTCATATGTGTAGTGTCCAGTACACACAAGTGCACCATATTGCCAGCCCAATTTACAATTCTAAATGCTAAAATCTTCTCAACATAGTTACTCACATATTCAGGATTATTCAGCAAATATTGTCAAATTGCAGAATAACATCCAAGGATGAACATTGTGTCATACGTTTCACAAGCACAGGCTGTTTGGTTATGGTCAATCCCTTGCTTGTTGTGAAAAGACAAAGGGATAGGTTGTTTGATATGATCTGCCAGTTTTTGGGATATACAGCCTACATACCAGACACTATACTGGCAGGTAAACACAAGAGTTGTTTGCTACATCAGAATGCCACCATCTAGCTAAAAAGGTGTTCTGTCTATCACAAAAATGAGTTTTGTGCTCTATAAAGTCCGGTACCAATAGTTAGAAACCTCACTGTTTTTTCATTATTTTCATTTTTCTTTCTTTTATCAATTTTAGTTTGGAGCTGAAGATAATTTATCAACATTACGAAATAGTTTGTGGTAAAAGGAAAAGAACAGTTTTGCTTGTTTGTGTCACCAGGCCTGGAGCCTAATTGCAGGTTCAGTCTTGTCTTACAGACCCAGCGATCCCAGGAAGAACATTGTGTTTAAAGATAGCAGAAGTTGGCTTTTAGCAAAATTAGTACCTCGGAATTGGTTCCTGAAAGTCTGGAAGAATCTTTCTGTTCAAGAAGATGGCAGATGTTGAGGAAAGGCATGGTCTGTCTACTAGGGTGGGATCATAGCTGAAGTTGTTTTTATTGAACTATGTTTTGAGTGGAGTTGAGTTTGGCTGCTGAAAACATAGCATGAAGATTTGAAAGCTCTCTGCTTACCAACTCACACCAGCTTCCAAAAGCCTAAAGAGTAGAAAGCTGAGTTAGAAGTATTACTACCAAATCTGAGTGAACTGGGAAAGTGATTCTAATTGGCACTTCCAGAAAAATAATTAAGGAGTCCACATCTATACATGAAAAACAATGCATCATGAAAGCCATTTGAGTAAACTGGGCAGTTTTGTTATTTTCTTTTATTTATCCCTTAACTGTGTTTGCTTGTTTGTTTCTCTGTCTATCTTTTCTGTGAACGGGGACCGAAAACAAATGTTCTGGGTTTAAAGCATAGATATTACTCAGTTTACCAAGTTAGTTAATTTTTCTCTCAGCTGACGTTAATGTGTATTCAATAAATATTAAGTCTTTTGTTTGAGTTACTGAGGTCTAGAATTAATTATTCACAAAGCCTGGGATTGGTTATTCAAAAGTCTGGTTACTTAATGTTGGCTTAGCATGCTTGACAATATTTCCTTCATTCAATTTCCCAAAATTTTCCCTGTCCTTTATAGAAGGATATCTGCTGTCCTTGCCTAGGTTGGCATATCAGTGACTCCAGACCCACAGAAATATGATTGATTCTTAACTGCCCTCTGGGTAAGTAGGAATGCACAGTAAATGCTGGCCTAGGCAGTGATGCCCACATCCTGTGAATGAAGAATAGAAATGAATTAAATTCTGGGACCTAACTGTTGCCTTTCATCCTGCAAAAAAAAATCATATTGGCCTGGATCTTCCAAAGGTCAGACAGATGTATTTCCAATGTAGATGTGAATTACACTTGGGGACCCTGCAGAATCCCCTTTGTACGAGGCTCCAAAGGAATTGTCCAGGAAATTAAAGATTGCATTGAGCAGTTCCTCTATGCCTGAAACCATTTGAAAGTGTCCTTTTAAATTGGAGAATTTGGAGGGTTCTAAAGAAAATAAGTAGTTAATTGGGAAAGGTTAGGCTCTTAAATACATGGTCTAACTCTGGAGTAACTATTCAACTGAACATATACTTATCTCACATACCCCAAACTACACCTCCCTCATATTGTTTACAGCCCTCAGGCTTTGACTTGACACAACTTCGAGCTCAAACACCGTCCCCTCTATTGTTCCCCCCACCTCCTGAAATACTGCCCTCTTTTCCCACTCCACGCCTGACCTGCTTCACCCCACCAGGCCAGGTCAAACTCAACCACCCCACTGGACCAGACCTAAACCATTCCTCCGACACTGGCCTCAACCTCCCCCTACATCCCCTGACTCACTGGGCACACAATTACAGGTTTCCACTCAGCTATTGTGAAAATGGGGTGTGATAACTATCAGCACGTCACACAATTCTGTGTCATGTTTCCTGGCAGCTGCCCTGTTCCTGCAAGATGTGGCCCATCAAATCAGGCCACATCCGTAATAAGTGGGACTATCAGAATTGATTATCTGAAGTAAATCACTTGACTTTTTAAAATGAGCCTCTGCTCCATGCTGTAAAATATTCAAAACATCTGAAAGGCAGTTTTCAATATATATGCAGAATGAAAACTGATGTATTCCAATTTCTCACTAAAAGCCTCCCGTCACATTACTTTTGATGTGAAGATTTATATTTCCCGATCATTAATAGAACAAATAATTAACAGTGACAATATCTGAAGTTAGTGAACGATCAAGAAACAACAAAAGATTCCTTGCAAGACAAAAGCACAACCGCAAAAAACAGCAGCTCAGGCTGAAATACAGTTGGTGACTCTCTTCTGGGAAAGCAACATTGCCTCTTTTCAGAGTCTATCAATGGCAGATTGGTAAGTGCAAAAAATTAACTCTTTGGAAAATGCATCGACATCGTAGAAAGACATACACAGCCAGTGCTGCTTAATTCATTCATATCCTCCTGACTTTTCCTTCTACTGCTGTTGATTTTCCATCAGGAATACAAATGTACAAACAGATGAGTTAGAGCAGGACTAGGCTGCTTGTCCCCTTGAGCTTCCTCTGCGATTCAATTAGATCAAGGCGATCTGATTATTCTATATTCCAGCCTATCACAGATAATGGTTCACTCCTTTGCTTATCAAGAATCTATCTACTCTGACTTAAAAATACTCAAGGAAGTTGTTTTCATTACCTGTGAGGAGAGTGCTGGCTCTGGCAAACACGGCATCAGTCAACAATTAATGCGCTCATGGCCTGTAAATGGGCTGACACTACACATGTTCCTATGGCAACCTGACAAGAGCAGGAGACCGTCCCTTCAACTGGCAGTTTTGTGAGCGTTAACCATTTTTCTTCATTCTGCTCCTGTTTTAGTGTACAGAGTTATTTGCCCATTAGTAATATGGATTGCAGAGGTCAGCCATCAAGAACATTTCAGACTTATTTTGCTTTGTCTGTCCCAATAGCTAACAATGTAATCTTCTTCATCTTCAATTCTCACTTCGAAGATGGGTCTGATCCATAGCACCTGATCTCCATCAGAGGTAGGGGAAGGAGGCAGGTCCCAAACCCACTCAGTCCAGAACAGGAACTGAATTCTAAGCTGTTGGCACCAACATGTTCCATAAAAACCATCCAGGTAACTCCCCAAAGCAGTCCAAATTACTGTCGCAACGTATGCATTCAAATGCCTGAAGCTAAGGGTGGTGATAGTAGAGGCTCCAATTTCTTTCCATAACAGGGATGACTAGGAATCACTCCTGTTCTTATTGCCTGCCATTCACATTGGAAGAATTACTTGTTAATATTCAACATGTTTGACCTTTTTTTGAACACACATTCCATTGCCAACAGGTTCTGGAGTGGGACTTGAACCCAGAACTTGATGCCTCAGCAGCATAAATGTGCTCTTGAAAATGTAAAATTTAAGCTTTAATTTTTGTTTCTTACTTTACCTTTCTTTTTTCTCTCTCTCTTTGCAACAAGACTTCATTTAATTCTATGCATTGACAATGTTATTGACAGGATTATGTATGAGTGTCAGAAAATGACATGATCAGATTTAGTAATGATGCCTGGCTGATCAGAGAGAATCTTGTTGAAATTTACATAGAGAAGGATCATTTATGCAAGACAATAGAAGTTCATTTATATTGTGAACACTTGTCACTGCCTCAAGAGAAAGGCCATAGAGCAAAAATCAGAGGAGATACTAGAAAAGAAATGTTGAAGGAAGATCCCTTTTTTATTGGCATACATTTTGAATAAGTGCTGGTGATTATAGTTCAAATAAATGGTGTCTTCCCTATTCTGGATCAGGAAATAGTCATTTTCAAATAATTTAGAAGAAAATTGTAAGTATGAATTCATCTGCACATTTTGACTGCCTTCTGATGTTTAATTAAGTACCAGTTAAACGTATAAAAAAAGCAAAAGATTCTTTGAGTAAATCCAACATAATACCTGTCCTTTTCTTGAAAGTAGGATCTGAGTCACGTTTTGATCTGTGCTGGAGACAGCTGAATTAATCAAAAGTAGTTTAAATAATAATTCAATGTAAACCAGACCACATACAATCCTGGAAGACAGTGTGACAAATTGTACCAGAAGTAATTTCACATAATTAACAAAAGCAAAATTCTGTGGATGCTGGAAATTGGAAATTAAAACAGAAAATGCCAAAACTCTCAGGAAGAGAAGCAACAACATTCTGATAGAATTCCAATGATTGGAATAATTAAATTCTGGTAATGCTGCAAAATGGTGGTATTGGATTTTGCTTCTTATATTCAGCACATAGTAATTAAATTCACTGACTGTCCACTGAAGTGATTTTTCATGCTCCTATATCCAATAGCATTGAGGCAGGTAGCACAGGACTTTAATGCTGCCTTTTCATTGATCTGATGTTGGTAATGTTGGTCTAAATGGGGCCCAGAGTTCTGAATGCTCAGCAAGGGGCTAAATAGTTAATGTAGTTATCACATGTGAAAACAGCTTGCTCGTATTAAAGATAGTCTGTCCCTCTTAAAGTAGAACTGCACTTATTAGAATACAGCTGTTATAGACTGCCTGTATTGACACTGGCTAGAAATGTGAGCTGCTCAAATAGATACCCAGAGAACAGAGAGAGTTCCTGGGCTCACAGCTCCTTGAAACTTTAAAAGTGTTGGAAGAGAGAAGACATGGTTTCACGGTGTGGAAGGAGATATGAAGGGCAGCTGGGCAGGCATCCCTCAAGGAAAACCTTCAGAGAAATAGAAGCAGATGTCCATGGAGACATTCACATGAGGCTCAATGTCAGCGAATGTATCTTCGCAAGCCATTCCCTACCCAGTGCTCTAGCAAACATACCTTCATCACTCACCCATCAGGAGTTCCTAGAGCTCAGAATTCATGTCCAACATGCAGATATTCCATCTCACCTTCATTCCCTTGTCCCATTGCTTTCTGATGTCTCTCGCTACTTAAGAGTAGGACCTGACTCAAATTTCAGTCAGATGCAATGCTAGATATAGCTGAATTAATCAAAAGTAGCCTAAATAATAAGAGTAATTTAACATTCAATGCAGCCTAGCCCACATTCTATGCTGGAAGACAGTGTGACAATGCATGTTAGAGGCAGGCACATCACTCACACAATGTCCTTTATAATCATTAACATTCTTTCATCTTGTTTGGAGAACAGTTGCCTACAAGTGCTGGGAGCAGAGCACAATTGGTGGGGGATCAGGACGTCAGCATCTGCTGTGCTCAATGAATGGGGTGATTCTTTGCATCATAGCATCAACTATTACAGAAATAATGGCATTTGAAATCACAAAGAATGTTTAGGATGATGGCTTATTCCACATTCTGCAATAATGTGAAAGCTGCTGCTGGCCTGACCGTTCAGCTCTTGCTTTCTACCTCCCATCAATCTCCCCAGACTTCCCTAACCACAACCTTCTCCTTTTAACCGATATTTCATACCTCATATTTCACTTGGGAACCCTGCAGCCCAATAGTAACAATGTGGACTTCACAAGCTTCAAAATCTCCCCTCCCCTTACCGCATCCCAAAACCAGCCCAGCTCGTCCCCGCCTCCCTAACCTGTCTGTCCTTTCTCCCACCTATCCACTCCTCCACCTCAACCCCCACCCCCACCTCCTACCTACCAGCCTCATCCTCGCCTCCTTGACCTGTCCGTCTTCCCTGGACTGACCTATCCCCACCCTAACTCCCCATCTACACTCACCTTTACTGGCTCCATCCCCACTTCCTTGACCTGTCTGTCTCCTCTCCACCTATCTGCTCCTTTATCCATCTTCTGTCCACCTCCCCCCCTCTCTCTATTTATTTCAGAATCCCCTTCCCCTCCCCCATTTCTGAAGAAGGGTCCAGACCCGAAACATCAGCCTTCCTGCTCCTCTGATGCTGTTTGGCCTGCTGTGTTTATCCAGCTCTACACGTTGTTATCTCTTCTCCTTTTAACTTTCTGCTTTCAGACTCCCAGGAACTGCTGCCCCTTCAGCCACAGAAATCCCCAAGGACTCGCATAGGTGGAGGCTGGATCACCTGTGCAATGTTGGAACTTCTGCCATGAAGGAAAAATTCAGTCGATTGTGTTAATCACACCGGTGGTTGTCAGGTTCCATTCGAACAATAACACTTACCATCTTCGATGTTGTCCAAACCTTTTCAATTATAGTCATATAATGGTTAATGTTCATAGCACTGCTCACTGAGAGCCAGTGGTGAGGTGTTATGAAAGATCTATAAAATATAGCAAACATCCCATTGCTGTCCTGCTGCAGATAGAATAACTTTGCGTGTTCCATTAGTACTAAAAACTTGGATTGCAAGACCGTACTGGGGAAATTAGAATGCCTAGCATGAATAAAATTCCTTTTTCTGGGAATTTAAGCTGTAGTATTGAGATATCCATGTGTAGCTCTGGGACCTGAAGTACAATGAATAGAACTTTTGAGACAGAGTTACATTTTAGTATAATATAGCCAGATAGTCAATCAATATAATGTAAGTAGTTATAATAACGCATCAGTAAAGCCAAATGTGAAATAAAGAAAAGAAATTTTTTTATGACTTTTTTTATTTCCAATCATAGAACTTGTTAAAGATTTTTAAAAACAGAAGATGTCCATTTGACCAATTATCTGAGCACAGTGGATCTTACAGAATTGTAGAAGAATGCCATTCTGCCCGCTATATTAACACCAGCTCCCTGCAAGAATACTTCAGTCTGTCCCACTCTCCTGCTTTTCCCTACAAACCTGGAAATGTCTTATTTTCAGGTAATTAACCAACTCTCTTCTGAAAGCCGTGATTGAATCTGCCTCCATCATACTCACAGGAATTGCATTCCAGAACTAACCACTCTGTGCACCAATTAGCATAAATTGGTCTTCTCAGTTTCTGAATCATCCCAACAAAGGAAACTGCTTCTACCTATTCTTTCTAGACTCCTCATGCTTTTGGGTACTATCCAATCTATCCATGTAGTAGAAGACCCTTGTCCCTGGAACCAATCTTATAATTCTGTTCTGAACCTTCTTGAAAACTTCTACAGCATTCTAAAACCCACAGCATCCAAATGGGATGTAATACTCTAAGTGAGGCTGGGCCAATGTATTATCGTAACATCATAAATGTTCATGATAAACCCTGACTTTTTTACTGTTTGCTTCTGTTTATAATGCCCATGATTTCCCATCCCTTTGTAACCACTTTCTCCATCAGTTGCCACCTTCAATGAATTGTGTAGTAGACTCCCAGGTCTCTCCATATTCCTGCACCCAGTTTAGAATTGGACAGTGTAGTTTGCATTGGTATTCATTCCGATGATCAAAGCATATCTCTTCAAGAGTTTTTACATCAAATTTCATCTGCTCTTACTGCTTCCATTACAATTGCAGGCAGTGTGTCCAGACCTTTACTACCTGCTGTGTGAAAATGCTTCTTTCATTGCATCACATTTGCTTCTTTTGCAAATTACTTTATATTCATGCCCTCCCATTCTTGAATATTTTATGAGTGGGAGCAGTTTCTCCTTAACGATTCTGTCCAGTCCATCAATGATTAGTTATAGTGTGCACAATTGCAGACAAAAATCCAATTGAGGTCTAACTAATGTCTTATGCAAGTTCAACATTGCATCCTTGCAATTATAGCATATGACGCTATTTGTGCTCCCTTTTTATTCCATAGGCTTTAATTTTCTTGATT